TTTTTTTCTGTACCTCTCTGGTTGCTCTGGGTCTGTTTTGCCCTATCTCTAAATATTATAGGGTTTGGGGGCTCAGCCCTGAGCCTCCTGTTTTTCTCCATTCCTTTTTCCTAAGAGACCTCATCCAGTCTCATGGCTTTAAATACTATTTATATGTTGATGGCTCATTTACTATCTGTAGTCTTGAACTCTCTCCTGAGTAGAAAGTTTGTATAGCCGACTTCCCTCCTGCGTCTCCATATGGGTTCCCAGTAAATGTGTTAAATATACCAAGACTAACATAAAACCAACTGCACACACTCCACAACACACACACACTGGTGCTTTCCCATCTTAGTTCATGGTCTTACCATCAACCAAGTAGCTCAAGTCACTACAAGTAGCCTAGAAGACATTACTGAATCCTGCCATTTCCTTGCCCCCACATCTAATGCAACAAGAAGTTTTTGTTCTAAATTCTACTTATAAAATATATTCCAAACTTATCCTCACTTGCCAGGATATTCTTTTTAAAAAGTAAATTGGGTCATGTGACTCTCCTGCTTGCACTCTCTGGTAGCTTCCACTTAGGAGAGCATCCAGACTTCTTACTATGGCCTAAGAAGCCTAATATGAACCCCCCACCCCACCGCTGAACTTTCTAACTTGATCTCTTACCACTCTGTTGTGATCACTACATTAGAGCCACACTTGCCTTCCGTCTATCCCTAAAGTATAACAAATCCATCCCTGCTCTTAGACCTCTGCCTAAAATGCTTTTACTCCATGCTTCACCTGACTGGCTCCTTCTCCGGTCACAACTCAAATGCCTCCTCTTCAAAGGCCTTCCTAAACCATCATAAGCTGATGGTCGAATGCCTCTCCGTCCCCTCCTCCTTCTGGCACGTTACATTGTGACACATTGCCCCATTTATTTCCTTTACATACCATTTATTTACTGGTAGTACCTGTCTGTCTGTCTCCCTCTATTGGAGTATGAGTTCGGTGAGCGTGGGAACCTTGTTTCTAATGTTCACTAGAGTGTCTCCTGTGTTTGGGACAGTACCTTGGTTAATATGCATAACTGCCATTCAAAAATGATCAGGGGCGCCTGGGTGGCTCAGTCAGTTAAGTGTCCGACTCCTGGTTTTGACTCAGAACATGATCTCACACTTCGTGAGTTCGAGCCCCACATTAGGCCCCAGGCTGTCAGCATGGATTCTCTCTCTCTCTCTCTCTCTCTCTCTGTCCCTCCCCAGCATGTACACAGCTGTGCGCGTTCTCTCGCTCAAAATAAAAAAGAAAACATTTTAAAAAAGGAAAAACAAAACCAAAAATGATGAGTCAGGAAACCCATTGTTAAAGCGTTTGGTTATAATAATTCTCGTTCTCAATAATAATTTTTCCTATCTGCCTTCTGACCTAATTTTCCATTTTATTTTTATTATCTTATATATGTGTTCTTCATTCATTTCGAACGGATTTCTAAGCAATTCTAGGTAAGGCCCCTTGGACCCAAGCAAAGAGTTAAATGTATCCCTGCTCTCCAGGAACTGCTTGGCCTCTTTAGTTTTTAACACCTTTTGAAGAATGCATATGTTGGTGTCTTAACCACTATCCTCTGTTTTATTATTTATTTATTTATTTATTTTAACATTTTATTTATTTTTGAGACAGAGAGAGACAAAGCATGAACCGGGGAGGGTCAGAGAGAGAGGGAGACACAGAATCCGAAACAGGCTCTAGGCTCTGAGCAGCCAGCCCAGAGCCTGATGCGGGGCTCGAACTCACGGACAGTGAGATGGTGACCTGAGCCGAAGTTGGACGCTTAACCGGCTGAGCCACCCAGGCGCTCCAACTCTGTTTTAGATCCAGTCGCGATCTACTCTGATTTTTTTTTCCTCCTGATAATAGAAAGATGTAAAGAAGGCACAGTGACCCTGAAGAAAAGTCTTCTTAATGGCTCATGGACTAACCTTTTTTTTCTGAGATGGCAGAGACCATGATTGAGGGAAATTCTTTCCATGACCTAGATTTTTGGCAATTAGTTACAAATAACTCTTGTCCCCCAAAAGAGACGGGGTCCTCGAGTCTCCTTAACGGGGATAAGGTTTTATCATTATTTCCCATCCAGAAAGTATGACCCTTCTCTCCTTTCGCCCCAGAAGATCATGTTATAAAGTATTCTGCTCTTCCTGCTTTTAGGTCTCAGTTCCATCTTAGGCCATGTCATTGCTACTGATTATTACAACTTTAAATTGGCTTTCCGGTTTGTAGAGCATTATTTGGTATTGCCCCTATTCACATTATGTATTTAGAGATTAAATCACTTGCTTAGGATGACTTGGTACAAGAAATACCAGGATCGTGAAGATGGTGTTCGTTGAGGTCAAACCTTTACTTTCCCTACAGAGTCTTGCTGTTTTGCACAGGTATGCAATTGGAGATATTTGTGGGGGTTAATGAAGAAAAACAAAGGAGTTGAGAGAACTAGAAGAAGACCTACAGTGATCTGGGTCCTAACAGTGATGGCTGTTCTTAGACCCTGTCTATGACTTCTCCAACAGAAGTGTCTGGCTACCGAAAGGCCGAGTCTGGCTACAACCTTGGGAGCTCTACGTTTGCCTTTGTGTCATTTCGTTCATGTTTGCTCTTGGACTTTCACCTGTACCTGTGTCAAACTTCTTTGAAAAAGAAAGATTTATAAATGCGATATTCAGATATTCTGCCATTCTGGCATCGAAACTTGAGCTCTCTTTCATACCTAGAAAAATGACTTTTCCAGGTACATCCTCAAGTATATGGGTGTTACAGTTTCTCACCCATCACCTATGATGATATTTGTTTCATTAAACATCATCATCATCATACTACTTTAAATCACAGGGAACTATTTCAAAATGACTAGTTCCTTTTATCTAGTACCCATCAGAATTATATACTGTGGTCTCTTAAGAGGCCTATTACACTATTAGGTTAATGGAATAAAGTAATGAAGAATTAATAAATGTATTTTCATCTTGCTAAGACCTAAAGGTTTAATGATTAACAGAGTAATGTTAATTCATTAAAGTAATTTTAGAAGATCATACATGTGCTGAGCTTACAAGGTCTCTGATGCACTTTTGTTCCCTGTGCTATCCCAGAAAAGCTTTGATTTATAAGGCTTAGTTTTTTTAATGAGTCTTTAAGGAGATGAAACAACTCCAAGGTCCTTATGGAATTTTGTAAAAATTTATTTTCTCGAGCTCTTCCTCTTAGTCCATCCTAAAAAGTCTTTGAACTTCTGAGCTTATATCTCTGTATATTCACCCATATGTTCTTTGTCCCAGAAAATGTTGCCCTATTTTAGGATTACTTTCTAAAGATCAAAATTGTCAGGATGATCGGTGACAAAAAAGCAGCGGAGTAGCAGTGTCAGCCTTTCCTAGTTTTGATATTCCTGTGGTCTTTGTCTCTAGGTCAGTGTAAATTCCTGCCAAGGTATCATTTTGCTAAGCCTAAAATTCAGAGTGATCAGTCTGAGTTTGCTGTTGGGACATCTTGGGAATATGAATGCCTTCCTGGGTATATCAAGATGTCATTCCTTATCACCTGCCTAAAAACCTCCAAGTGGTCAGATCCTCAGCGATTGTGTCAACGTGAGTAATCTGTAATAGAAGCATCTTTGGGTCTATCTGTACCTCTGTGAGATAGCCTATTATTTTCAAGGTGAAAGACCAGAAAATTACTAAATGATTTCAAATGAAGGGTGCTCCTGGGTTCTCCATGTTTCTTTTACTCCCAAGAATAATATTGGGTATTGGGGTTAAATCATCACAGCTGGCCAGCCCTGTTTATCCTGTAATCTCCACAGCTTTGTTCTACAGTCTCTATACTGTGTTAAATGAGCTTAAGAGTTAGTATACAAGGAACACGTGTGTGTCACCTCATTCTTGTCCCATTCAATCCAAGAAATATTTTTTAGTAACCATTAGGTGTGAAGCATTAGGCTGGATGATGGGGCTGGGAATACACATAAAAATTAGCTAGTCTTTGCCTTTGAGGAGCTCCTATACTAGCTGTGAAGACTGACTTTTAAATAAATGCTGTACTATTATGTAATTTATTTATAGGTATAAAGCTCTGCAGGGAAGTAAATAATACTGTCTTGGAGAATTAGGCAAAAGTAGGCATTATAGGCAGAGGAAATAGCATATTCGAAAGCATAGAGCTATAAAAGAACAGGACATCTTTGGAAAATAGAAAAATTCAATGTGGCTGGAGTATAAGGTACATAGTGGGGAATAATAGTTAATTAAGTGTATTGAAGCTTAATTTTGATGGGCCATGCATTTTTTCCCCAATAAACAGTGGTAAGTCATTGTAAGTTTTTCAGTGTGGGGAGGGGCATGGCCATATTTGTGCTTCCGAAAGAGTGTGGGCTGTGCTATAGAAAATATATTAAACCAATGGAGACCAAAGATAGAAAGGTAAATTTTGGTACTCAATGATCCAATGAGAGATTACAGCAATGACTACATAGTTGGTTTGGAGAGAGATTTCTGGAATCCAGTCGCTAAAATTTGGTAACCAATTGAGTGAAGAGCAGTAGGTGGAGGATGAGTTACAGAAAGGAAATGATGTCTATGAGGTTTTTTAAGCCACAGACTTGGTAGATGATGCCATCAACTGACAGGATATAAAAAAGGGGAAATACAGATTATAAATTATGGTTGACCACAAATAATGTTTGCATCCATGCTCAGAAATAGAGAGTGCATGCTTCAAACAGATAGTGTTCTGAAGTTGACTGACCCTTTGGAGGATACAAGTTTTGTAGATATCAAAACTGTCTTTGAATTAATTTAAGTAGGCTAGTTGGCAAGTCCAGTCACGTTGGTATCTAATATGAAACACAGAACATCCCCCAAATCCCAGTCCCAAATTTTGTTTTGTTTTCCGTTATAGGTAAATCATGTGGGAGTCCTGGAGAACTCCTCCATGGCTCTGTCCTCATACCCACGGGTGTCCTGTTTGGGTCAACAATTACATATTCTTGTGATAAAGGGTGAGTTGGCAGGAGACATCTCCAGAATACATGGGTATTAGAACAGTGGTTTCAACCATAAACCATCAGTTTTCCAAAAGAGATCCAAGTAATTGCCATTTACCCTTAAACATAGATAAGCAAAAAGAGAACTACCACCCTGATCTGCTCCAGAGACAACACTTCAAGAATACCCACTAGAAGAGAAAGAAATTTGGGCTACTCTTCTTCTAATTTTACATCTCCAGCATTACTGACCGGGAGCCAAATGTCATTTGGCTTCGGATTGTTGAATTTTTTGTATGAGTCCTTAGTTTATCACCATTACTTGTCTTACATGATGATCTATTCTTTGCCATTATTTCAGTAGAGGAAGAACTAAGCTTTCCTAAAATGTACATCTAGCTGGGAGATGATCACTCATCTGTTTGTCTTTAGATATCGACTCATTGGTGATTCATCTGCTACATGTATTATCTCAGACAATATTGTAACCTGGGATAAGGACATGCCTTTTTGTGAATGTGAGTAAAATGATCCCGTTGTCATACCCTTTGCAATTCCTCTTGTCCCCTTCTAGAGGGAAATTGGGCATCTACACATCAAAACAAGTACCCAGGAGAGTTACATTTGGTTTGGGTAGCTCTGGGTACAGAGCTGTGGTTTATCTTCTTCCATGTCTCCCAGTCTCACCACACTTTCCTTTGATTACTGTTCTTAGAGGATAAGTTATTTCATAGTGAATAAGTGCTTGAATCTAAAATACACTATGAGATTACACACTATGGCAGTAGTGCCATATTGTGGCACTTTATTCTATGCAGAATGTCGGCCATCCTAGGTATTTCCCAGAATAGTTTATCTGTACTTTGCAGTAGAAGGAGCAACTGGTGACCAGATCACAGTTTTTTTTAAGTTTTCTTCAGGCAAGTTCCATGAATCTTCCTACCTTGCTACTTCCTATTTAGAACCATCTTTGAGATGAGGATGTAGAGTTTCAACAATCTGGGTTAATTGTTGGCTGAATTGAAGTGTGGTTTGCAAGAGTGAAGACAAGATTCCAAGAAGGTATAACATTTAAATGCCTTCTCTTTTTTCCCACCTACCCCCCAAAAGCTATTCCTTGTGCACCACCCCCAGCCATCTCCAATGGGGATTTTTACAGCAGCAGTAGAGAGAACTTTTACTATGGAATGGTGGTGACTTATAAGTGCCACGTTGGACAGAATGGAAAAAAGTTGTTTGACCTCGTGGGTGAGAAGTCCATATATTGTACCAGCAAAGACAATCGAGTTGGCATCTGGAGTGGCCCTCCCCCTCAGTGTATTACTTTAGTCAATTGCCCAATTCCAGAAGTCGAAAACGGAATTATAGAATCTGGATTTGGACGTTCATTTTATTTAAATGATACTGTGATGTTTAGGTGTAAGCCTGGCTTTACCATGAAAGGCAGCAACATAGTATGGTGCCAAGCAAACAGAAAATGGAATCCTCCACTGCCAAAGTGCTTTAAGGGTGAGTTGGGCTGAAACTCTGGGGATCTAGAAACAAAATGAAACTTTTAGAGAAATAGATACATGGTACCTGTGGAAAAAAGAAGGGGAAAGATAGTATATGTAGTTCGGTATCTTGGTTAAAGAATTTGAAAGTATACTTTCAAAGCAATATCTAAATGTTGAAGAAGTAGGAAATTTACTATATTCTTGGACAGTACTAGATGTCCATTAGTGTAGAGCAAATTAGAAGACACTTTGAAAAGCGAAGAAAAGCAGAGCCAATGATCAGAGATTCTTTTTCCAGCACATAGGCGATTAGATTTTATTTAAATGAGGATAAAATAAACTCTGAATCCTATTGGCCATGCCAATAGAGGAAATTGACTGATGTCAATTTAATCAAATCAAATCAGAATCTGATTTTAATCAAATCATAATTTGATTAAAAATACTGTAGACATTATACATGCTCCTGTTGAGAATGTGGCCTTTATGGAATAAGGCTAGAATTAAGATTGAGTCACTTCCCCATTCTGCCTTTCTCCCCTACTCTTATTAAGAAATGTCTGACTTACTAAAAACATGACAATATTGGGAGCCCCTCCTGCAAGGCTCAGGAACTTCATCAACCTGGTTTGGGGACGGCAGGAAGAAAGAGGTAGATTTTGGTAATAAAAATGTATTATAATAGTTAGGTTCCCTTGGCTACAATATTAGTGAGAGAATATCTGAGGCCTTTTTAGTGCAATAAAATGGAAAATGATGAGTGGGTGTAATGTTTTCCAGCATAGATCAAGATAGGGAAAGCAGATAGTTTCATGGTTCATCATATCTAAAGAAGTAATGCGTGTTAGTTCCACCCCACCCAAAGGAGTCTCTGCCTTCCGCTAGGAGAGTTGACATGGCCACCTTCATCCCACCCCTACACACCTCAAGTTGGCTTAGGTTGTAGAGGAGAAAGTTCTTATTTCAGGAATAAAAGACCTCTGGTCCTGTTCTTTTCTCAGGGTGTCTACCACCTCCACCTATCAACCATGGTAGTTATAACATCTTGGATAAGGAATTCTTTCCAATTGGACAGGAAGTGTCCTACAGCTGTGACCCCGGCTACACCCTCATTGGAACTAACCCTATTCAGTGTACATCCTTGGGAACCTGGAGCCATACAGCCCCTGAATGTGAAGGTGCCTAAATCTCTATTCCATCTTCAGGAAACTCAATTGTTTCCTACTCTTCATGTGCCAGCCTTGTCTCTTTTTTCCTAGCAAAATCATGTGATGCCATTCCAACCCAACTTCTCAATGGCCGTGTGGTGGTCCCCCCTAATCTCAAGCTTGGGGCAGAGGTTTCGTTTGCTTGTGATAAGGGGTGAGTGTGAGGTGAGAGGGCCTGAATTGAGATGTATAATATATAGCTAAGCATTGCAAAGATTAATCTGTAAAGATGGTTAAAAATTTTTTGCTCTTTCTGATTTTTTTCTTATTTTCTTTACCTTATATGACTCATAATTCCATTGTTAAGCAAATCCTGTTGATTTTCTCCAACTGTATATATTGTACATAGCCAGAGAGAGCTAGAAATTGTCCTTTAACCATTTGAAAAAGCAAAATTTAGGGTCAGAAATTAAGGCTCCTATTATGGAGAATAATGGGGGTTCACTAAGAGGGGTTCTTTGGAATGATCTTAGGGAACAAGGTCTTTGACGTTTTCTTCACGAAGAACTGAGGTTTTTTCCTTCTAAATGGTAAAGAGAATCTTGACATTTGGATGCCAAAGAGGAAATGGAGAATACAAAAACAGAATATGATTGTTAGGAATTTTTTTTCCCTCTGTGTTTTTACCTAGTCTGAAGTCATCACACAGCTGAGCTGATTCACAAACTTGGACTTTTTCCTTAAGTCAGAAATGATTTAAAAAATAGAGGCCATTAATACCACATACTTGAGGGAAGTGATTAATTCCATGCAGCCGAGAACTGATTTGTTCTGGTGATGATTTGCTACCCCTTATTGTTTAAGGTACCGATTAAATGGCCAATCTTCTAGTCAGTGTGTCTCAGAAGGAACAAGAGTACTCTGGAATAATAAGTTTCCTGTCTGTGAACGTGAGTAGAAAACAAAAATCATCAAGTATGGATCTTACCCCTTGATTTTTGGTGTATTCCCATGCATTTATCAATCATAACATCTTCTTCATATGTGTGCTTTGAATGTATGTATGCCAGTCTTCTCTATGTTCTAGGAGGCAGACCAAAGCCAAATTTATTTGACTACCTATTGTATTAGGTATTCTATATGTATAAAGACAAATGCTTTGAAAGATCCCCCTGTTGAAACTGAGTAGCACCGATGTGTTGAAATGGTTTGGCTATGTCTTCTTTTGCCAGTTCCTCTACTGATGAGCAACTCTTGGGAGCTAAATGGAAATCAGCCATAAGTTGTGGGAATTGGCCATTTTCCCTTCATTCTGAGTCTCATTCAGGAAAGGTGTGCATATATCAACACAGCTGTAAACCATTAATATCCTTCTTGTGCATTAGGACAAGTAAATAAAGGATGTGAGGTCATTATTCAAAACCTCTGATCACTTTCTGTGGCTTTTTTAAAGGCGTCCAGCATCAAAGGATGACAAATGATCTGTGGTGAGGCCGCAGTATCTTCACTAGCAAAACAGAATGTGTTCTCACCACTTGTGGCCCCAGTTGTATGTTTGAAACACACATTGAATTATTAGTATGTTCCAGGTATTGTGCTTGCCATTTTTAGGTACTCTTAGCTCACTGGATGCTTCTTGTAACCTTATGAAGTAGCTTGAATTCTACTATAGACTAAGAAATTGAGGGTTAGAGAGGTTAAGACTTGCCTAAGGTCACACAGCTATTGATGACAGTGGGGGTTTGAAACCAGGTCTGTTGAGCCCAAATTTCATTAGTGCATGGTGCCTCCCCACATGTGATTAACATGTGACTAAGATTATTTTCGTGTGCTGTTTGCCTTTTATTTCACTACTAAGATTGATGAGATCCACAACTAGTCAATAAATTCTGTTTCATTGTTACTGTTTGGTCGGGATGGTATTTATAGACCAGTTGATTTGTTTGCTGCAGACTGGGAGAAAGGTAAGAATTTACGAGGTGGGGGATAAGCACAGACTATGAGTAAGAAACAGATTACACAAATATCTGTTTCTGAAAAAAATGACATGACCTGTATTTGGACGTTTTATCTAAATTTAGATCTTTTCGTTGTCAGGATCAGTATGACCATATCTTTCCTTGTCTACTTTTCAGGAATTTCTTGTGACCCTCCTCCTCCTATCAAAAATGGTTGGAGTAGTTATTCTTCTGGTCCCATACCTCTTAACACTGTGATACGGTACACTTGTTCTGGTAACTTCCGCCTCATTGGAGAAAGAGTCATTTTTTGTATAAGTAAAGACCAAGTGAAGGCCATCTGGGATAAAGGTGCTCCTGTATGTGAATATTATAATAAAAATTCTTTTTGCTCCGAGCCCATAGTACCAGGGGGATACAGAGATAAAACATCTAGACCACCATACAGACATGGTGATTCCGTGACATTTACCTGTAATACCAACTTCACCATGAAAGGCAACAAATCTGTTTGGTGCCAGGCAAATAGAACCTGGGGGCCAACACCACTACCCATCTGTGAGAGTGGTAAGTAAAAACCCAACACAATGCTAAGTGGGGAGGCTGGAGCCTTGCATTTCTGTGCAGATCAAGTTTTTATTCTGAAGGAAGAACAGTATGGATATGTGAATGGTGAGGGCGGAAAGAAGGGAAGAGGGTGAAAATTGGGGTTTCTGGCTTGTCCTTAGTTCTGGAGGGATATAAATGTTCATTCAACAACCATCCACAGAGCAAAGAATAAGGGGGAGATGTAACTGTGAATGTACCTAATAACTGAATGGAATAGATCTTACAAGAACGGGGGCCAATGTTGGTTGGGATGTGGGAATTAGATGGTTTTAAACTGCGTATCTGGGTTACTGTTAAATTGAGAAGAAATGTGGGATCTAATAGCAAGATGTACGCAATGGATTTAAAACGCATCTTTGAATAGCTGTTGGGATAGTCTGGCAGAAATGATTCCCCTTTATCTATGGTCTTTGTGAATTTTTTCTGGAGTGATCCACTATTATCCAAGTCACCTACTAAGTCATCGCATTTCAAATCAAATCCCTTTGAAAACAGGGACCACTGTAAGTTCTTAATTTTCTTTTCATTTGGTTTGGTTTATGTCACTGCCAAAACCCAAAGCTGAATTTCAGTTCTACAATTAAACAGACTGGCAATACTTGGCAAAAACTATACCATCAAAATTAGCTATTTTCTTAATAAAGAACAGTATCGACCAACTCTAAATCAGTTGAGCTGAACACACTGTTGACTCATTAGAAAAATATGGGTCTATCTATGCATAGGTAAGTATGTAATCTTGGAGGTAGGGAAGATCTTAAGATAGTCACAAAATGGGGTGACCATGGAAAACAATGAGGTCTTTAGAAAGATTTAGATATATCTATACATATAGACAGATTATGAGGCAAAGAAAAGGCATAGAGTAATACGTATGAAGTACATACACATACCTGTGTGTAGATATGTGTCATATATAGGATCCCCAAAAGCTATGTTACTAATGTCTTTGAGGATCCCCCCGTAAATGATAACATGCTACTCTTGGAGCAGAGAACAGGCTAAGGGTAGGAGGATAGTATGGGTGTAAAGGAACTTCTTTGGGTAACTGAAACTTTTCACAAGGCAAATGTAACACATAAAGTGTAACTAAGAATGAAAACTACAGTACCATTTGTGGTATAAAATACATACACTTAAACCACACCTGCCTGATCTTGAAAAGACTGAGTTGAAAATTAGCGATGACTGTTTACCGTCGACCCCATGTCTTGTGTCTGGATCTCTGTTCTAAGTCAAAGTCTAGGTTGTGAAGGATGTATCACCTGACAGCCTTTTTCCTAATGTGTGCATGTAAAGATTTCCCGCAGGAGTGTCCATCGCTTCCCAAGATCCCCAATGGACATCACACAGGGGAGAGTGTTGGCTCCTTTGCCCCAGGATTGTCTGTGACTTACAGCTGTGAACCTGGTTACTTGCTTGTTGGAGAAAAGACCATTAGGTGTCTGTCTTCAGGAAAGTGGAGCGCTGCTTTTCCCGGGTGTAAAGGTACCTAAATTTGCAACCAATTTTAAGAATTTGGGCTATGCTGTGATTTGCCATGCTTCGCTCACCTTTGGTTTGTTTCCTTAGAGGCACAGTGTGAACCTCCAGGGCCGTTTCTCAATGGAGAGATAGAGGGCCCTCCAAGTCTTCGGGTTGGTGTAACTGTGAACTTTTACTGTAATGAAGGGTGAGTGTCGGCAGGGCCTGGGAGATTTAATTCATTTGGCTTATGCGTGCATGGTAGGACCCGTGACACCTGCACAAGGCTCCTCCATGAGGATGCAGGGACAGCCTGGTGTGAGTGAGGCTGTGAGAGAGAATGCTTATAAAAGGAGTTGGTACGTGTCAACTGAGTGCATTTGTCTTGGGTTTTAAGTGGGGGCGGTTGCCCTGTAACGCCAACTGCTTAATAGTCCTGAACGTCCGCCTTCCGTCTCCAGGTATTGGTTACAAGGCCAACCTTCTAGTCGGTGTGTAATTGCTGGACAGCGTGCTTCTTGGACCAGGATGCCAGTGTGCAAAGGTATGTTAGGAAACTGGTTTGCAGCTAGTTCTCTGGTCCTTGACCAGAACACCTCATTCTCAGCGTAACTAAAAGTTTTTGGTTCAGTCATTACTATACAGAATCTCATAGAGCAAAGATTTCACGTAGACCTCTCGAAGGGATAGGTTCTTCACTGAAGCATCCTTCAGCCACTTCTTTATTCCCTGCTTCCTCAAGTAAAACAGGGTTCCTAGGTTTTTCTTTCTTTGGAAACTGTGGAGACTTGCCAGCCAGGCCAAGCATATAAAGGAGATTGTATATTCAGTAGAAGAAATCAAAGGATCATGCTAATAGATATAGTCAAGAATAAAGTTCTGAATCATACTTTTAAAATTATACTGCTGTAGGTGACCTGATTGATACATTACAGGTTCAACTATCACTGTCCCTGAACCTTGGGTGGGACCACGGTTTCAAGCAACATCTGAGGCATTCTTTGTTTGCTGTACAGCTGCAATCTTGTCATTATTTCTGATTTCTCTAGAAATTCTTTGTGGGCCACCTCCTTCTATTCTCAATGGAAGGCATACAGGCAACCCTTCAGGGAACATCCCATATGGAAGCATGATCACTTATGCTTGTGACCGAGGCCCAGAGAAAGGAGTGAGCTTCATCCTTACTGGGAAGAAAACCATCCATTGTACCGCCAATAGTCAGAAGACTGGAGGAGTCTGGAGTGGCCCTGCCCCACGCTGTGAACTTTCTAGCTCTGCCATTCAGTGTCCACCTCCCCAGATCCCAAGAGGCCACATATCATCTGGATGGAAAGAGCAATATTCCTATAATGACACCGTGGTATTTTCTTGCACATTTGGCTTCACCATGAAGGGCAGCAAGGTGACCCGATGTAATGGCCAAGGTGCATGGGAGCCATCGGTACCGGTCTGTGAAAAGGGTGGGTGTTCCAATACTCAGCAAAGTGCTACTAATTCATCTTTTTGAAGGGTTAGAAAACAGGGTTATAGATTTAAGCAGGGCCTTTTCCAGCTTCTAGTCCCCTCGATTCTACTAAATATAGTGAATATAAATTATATAGGTTTTCTTAACGTCATCACCCCACCATTGTTTCATTTTGTGGAAGCATCCTTGGGAGAAAAAACACTGAGGATCACTAAGTTGCCCACTTCTCTAGGGGAAAAAAAAAATGCTTGTTTGTCTCAGTATTGATTTTTTTTTTAAGAGAAGTCTACAAATCTTGTACCCCATGGATATATCCCGTGAAACACATACGAGATCGTTCCTTGAGAAACAAAGAGACAGGAGGGGAGTTGGAGCACCAAATGGAAACTGAACTAAATGCAGAAAAGAAAAAAGATGGAGAACCACTGATTTAAAATTACCCCAAACTGGACTGCACAGATTACTTCTATCCCATATAACTGCCACCAGAGCGGATTGTAGATATTCATGATAATTTCTTTGGCTGTTTCTTTCAGTTGTTTATATAAGAAAATTTTTCTTCTTTTCCTTTAGAGTGCCAAGCCCCTCCTAAAATCCTCAATGGGCAAAAGGAAGATGGACACATGGTCCGCTTTGACCCAGGAACATCCATAAAGTACCGCTGTGACCCTGGCTATGTGCTAGTGGGAGAAAAATCCATACGTTGTACCTCTGAGGGGGTGTGGACACCCACCGCCCCCGAATGCAAAGGTGCCAGGCTTTGAATGCAGATGTTTTGTGGTTTTGAGATTGCCTTGAGTTGATTTCTCATCCCGCTCTCTTTTCTTAGTGGCAGAGTGTGAACCTATAGGAAAACAAGTCTTTAAGAGACCCTGGGATCAATTTATTAGACCAGATGTTAACTCTTCTTGCGATGAAGGGTGAGTGAGGGCTCTCAGCCTGAACCAAGTCTGGCTTATCAGTGCACACTACAAGCTCTGTTGCAAGCATTTATCTCAAAGACCCTTCCCTGTCACACGTTTGCAGAAGGGTTGATTGTGCCGTTGTTCCATGCCTAGAAGCTCTGTCCATGCAATGGGTGGATGGTGTTGATGCTGGCTACATTTTTGTTCCTATTTTTTCTTATCCTAAAAGTGGGGAGTCCGCTTTGAGCCAATAGCTCTTGCTTAGCTTAGTGGGCACCGGATGGCAAAATGACATGACTCTTTGTCTCCAGGTACCGGTTAGGTGGGAGTGTTTATCAGTTGTGTCAAGGTGCGATTCCTTGGTTTATGGAGCGTCGTCTTTGTGAAGGTGAGTAGCAAAAATTACGGAGGACCTCAAACAGGGTAAGATGTATGCGTTTCCCGGGAGATTTCCGCTTGAGGCACTGTTACGGGAATAAGAATATTAGATTCTATTTGATTCACTTTGTCACCGCTTCTAGTTGTGCAGTCTTGCTGTCTTTCTGCTGTCCCCTCTTTCTACTTCAGAGCATGACCATCAATGTAAACCTATTTAGTTTCTGATTCTCTTTTGTGATTGAGGAGTATAAGAGTAATAAGGACAGTGAGTATATGAGCCACCATCCTTGATAGAGGGAACACTGGAGTTTAGTGGGGAGAAAGGGGAATCGTGTGGGATTTGAACTCAGATTCTGCTGCTATTGCTTGATTAGACCTTGGGCAATTTATGTAACTTCTTGGAAATCCTAGACTCTTACCTGTGAAGTTAACCTAAGACTGCAGACTTCCACATTATTAGAATTAAGTGGTACTATTCCTATTTAGTAGCTAAGAAAATTGCCTGTCAAAATAGGTGCTCAATCGACAGTCTTTCTTGCATCACCTATCATATCACATGAGCACAAAGATGATACTCAAAAAAGCTTAATTCTACTCCCCTGTGCCTTTTATTCACCTATTAGTGATTTTTAAAAAAACAATGATTTAAAAAATTTTTTTTAATGTTTATTTTTTGAGAGAGAGACCGAGTGTAAGCTGGGGAGGGGCAGAGAGAGAGGGAGACGCAGAATCCGAAGCAGGCTCCAGACTCCGGGCTGTCCGCACAGAGCCCAACACGGGGGGCTTATTTTCTACTGGACTTTACTGCCTCACAACATGATATTGATGTACATGCTCACTTTAAACAAAGATTTCCGTTACAAAGATCTTTGCTATGATATCTGTTTAAATCACATTTTACATACATAATGAGCTTTGATGTAACTTCTACCATCAAAACTCATCCATATCCTCCAGGAAACCTGATAACAAGAGGTCTGTAACCAGCTTCCCTTCTCTTCTTTTGTGTCTAATACTGGAATAGAATTCTACAGTAAATTCTTCTTTCTCCAGAAATCACCTGCCCGCCCCCTCCTGTGATCTACAATGGGAAACACACCAGGAGTTCCTCCGAAAATGTTCCATATGGCACCACGGTCACCTACACATGCAACCCTGGGCCAGAGAGTGGAGTGGAATTCATCCTCGTTGGAGAGAGCACCATCCGTTGTATAAGCAATGACCAAGAGAGGGGCATCTGGAGTGGCCCTGCCCCTGTCTGTAAACTTTCCCTCCCTGCTGTTCAGTGTCCACCTGCCCACGTGGCAAATGGATACAAGATATCTGGCAAGGAAGCCCCATATTTCTACAATGACAGTGTGACATTCAAGTGTAATAAGGGATTTACTTTGAAGGGCAGCAGTCAGATTCGCTGCAAAGCCAATAACACCTGGGATCCTGAAATACCAGTCTGTGAAAAAGGTAACGACCCAATGAGGTATTTATTTATTTATTCTTATTATCTCCAACCCAAAACTAGAGTCACGGAAAAAGGCAAGCATGCACACGTTACTATCCCATCTCTCCCATTCTGTGACGGAATGTTCTATGTGGTTTTATATATTCTTCATGTGCATGCCCCCATGGATCTGTGATGTATTATGGATAGGTAATGAGATGACCTTTTTATGGTTTCCAAGTTTTTAGTTAAATTCCAGTTAGTTAATATACAGTGTAACATTAGTTTCAGATGTAGAATTTGGTGATACAACATCAGCTGCTCATCACAAGTGTCCTCCTTAATCCCTGTCACCTATTTAACCCACCCCCCAACCACCTTCCCTCTGGCAACCATCAGTTTGTTCTCTGTAGCTAAGCATCTGTTTCCCGACCTTTTTAAAGGTGCCTAGTTCCTGCAAAAGAGCAGAAAACATTCAGTAATGAATCAGCACTTCATGGTCTTTGGTTTAAGTTTCAGATTGTCTGCTGTCGAACGATGTATACTTAATGTTCTCACGTATAAATTCCTTTTTGTTGTTGTTGTTGGTATTTATGTGGGGAGTTTTCTCTTCAGGCTGCCCGCAACCTTTTGGGCTCCAGCATGGTCGGCATACAGGTGGAAATAGGGTCCTTTTTGTCTCTGGGATGACTGTAGACTACACCTGTGACCCTGGCTACTTGCTGGTGGGAAACAAATCCATTCACTGTATGCCTTCGGGAAATTGGAGTCCTTCTGCCCCTCGGTGTGAAGGTACTTTCAATTCCAGAGTTGTCTTTCTCTGTGATATCAGGCATGTATAAGTAACTCAAACTTTGCTCGTCCAGAAGCACCATGTCAACCTGTGAGAGAAGATCTTCGAGAGCCTCCTGTTCACTCACACGTGGTACTGGTTAATACGTCCTGTCAAGAGGGGTGAGTAGAAGAGGGTCCACTCTTGGGAAGGGTCTCCGCTAGTTTTATGCATTAATCCTATCCTCAACCTGTCTTGGTGACTCCATTTAGAAGTCCCTCATTGTCGCACTCACAGGGAACGTGAGGTTCTAAAGGTCTAACATCTAGGGCTTTTCAGTCCTTTCTTGACATGGAAATAACTGTGTTGTGCAAAACTCTGTTTAAAGTAGCTTTTGTGCTTGGAGGGCCGAGAGTTTTAGCTCCTGTCCCCCCGAAGTTCTTACTTAGAAATGCCCCTTCATCTGTGATTTGAGGAAGAGAGGCGGCAGAGATGTGCTATCAGGAAGAGGAAATGCATTGCAGTCTCTCTCTAGGTACCGACTGACTGGACATGCTTATCAGAAGTGTCAAGATGCTGAGACTAGGGTTTGGTTCCAAAAGATTCCACTTTGTAAAGGTAAGTCAGAAAAAAAAGTTGTTGGAGGGGCAGTAGGGGGTTAGAGAGGGCAGGCCACTGAGGAGCTAGCCTATAACTACCTCAGTGGTCTGTGTGTTCAGTCTCCGTGTATATAAGATAAGGCAAATCTTTCCGTGTTTGATGGGCACGGACACTGGGAAATGAAGTTGTCAAGTAGGAAGTGAGTATTTGCCGTATATCTGCTCAAGATTTAAGAAAATATATATATGGCCTAGGTTTCTAGTTCATGGTAGCATAGCCACATTTATTCCTTTCTGAAGACTTCACTGTGTTTCCTGAATTTTTTTTGAATGAGTATGATGTATTAGTCGCATAGAGAATTTAATAAAGCTGGTTTTTAAATTTTTTAATATTTATTTATTTTTGAGAGAGAGAGAGAGAGAGAGCATGAGAGGCAGAAGGGCAGAGAGAGAAGGAGACACAGAATCCGAAGCAGGCTCCAGGCTCTGAGCTGTCAGCACAGAGCCTGATGTGGGGCTCGAACTCACAGAATGCAAGATCATGACCTGAGCCGAAGTCAGAGGCTCAACTGACTGAGCCACCCGGGTGCCCCAATAAAGCTGTTTTTAAATATTTAAAATTTTTTTTAACATTTATTCATTTTTGAGAGCGAGAGAGCGAGAGAGACAGAGCATGAGTGGGGGAGGGGCAGAGAGAATGGGAGACACAGAATCCAAAGCAGGCCCCCGTCCCTGAGCTGTCAGCACAGAGCCTGACGTGGGGCTCGAACTCACAGACTGGGAGCTCATGACCTGAGCCGAAGTCGGACGCCTTCCGACTGAGCCACCCAGGCACCCCTAATAAAGCTGTTTTCAAGAAAGTATAACCCAGGTCCTAAAATCTAAGTTATTTTATTGCTCTGTGTAATACCTACAGTTGCCTAGTTTCATTCGTGCCTGAATGAAGACTGTCCAACTGAAGTAGAATTTCCTAACTCTCTTCTACAGCTGTTCACTGCCCGCCTCCACCAGTGATTGACCACGGAAGGCCCAGGGGTGTGATGGCAGAACACTTCCTATATGGAAATGAAGTCTCTTATGAATGTGACCAGGGATTCTCCCTTCTGGGAGAGAAAAATATACGATGCATCAGTGATTCTAAAGGACATGGATCTTGGAGTGGACCTACCCCCCAGTGCTTCAAATCTCCTCCTGTGACCCACTGCCCTAACCCAGAAGTCAAACACGGATATAAGCTAAACAAAACTCGTTCTTCATATGCCCACAATGACACAGTATATGTCGCCTGCAATCCCGGCTTCATCATGAATGGCAGTAACTTGATTAGGTGTCATACCAGCAACCAGTGGGTGCCAGGTGTACCAACTTGTATCAAAATGGGTAAGATATTTTAAGGAATTAAGTATGGGATGGTGCAGAGAATAAAGGAAAGGGCTTTGAATCTCCACTGGCCATTTGAACTGCAGAAAAGCATGTAAAAGCAAAGACACTCACATTGTTTTACAAGATACCTGCCTTGTCTTGTCTTTTCATCTGATTCTTTTTTTCCCCTTTTCTTTTTTTTTTTTTTTTAATTTTTTAACGTTTATTTATTTTTGAGACAGAGAGAGACAGAGCACGAACAGGGGAGGGGCAGGGAGAGAGGGAGACACGGAATTGGAAGCAGGCTCCAGGCTCTGAGCCATCAGCCCAGAGCCCGACGCGGGGCTCGAACTCACGGGCCGCGAGATCGTGACCTGAGCTGAAGTCGGACGCTTAACCGACTGAGCCACCCAGGCGCCCCTTTTTCCCCTTTTCTAAGTGCGTTGAGCAAAAGTACACGAGAGGATAATGGTTACCTCCCAAACTGATGGAGTCTCTGAAATCTATTCTTTTTACTAATTTATAATTTAAAAAAATACACATATCTTCGGGAGGGGAAATGTCTGGCGATAATACTGCTTGATGATTTGATATATAAAACTGTGATAGCAGCCAGAAAGAGAACTTTGTGTTTCTCAACAGGAATGCTGGCCTTCAAACCCATTGAATTGTCTTTCTTTTTTTAGTTATTGTGTGGCAGTTTTGCTCCTGTCAGAAACTACCTACCACCGAGCCTGCCAATTGGTGCCCTAAGAACCGAACCCAGCTCACCAGAACTGTTTTCTTTGGCTGAAATATGGTGCTTTGCTTTCCTGCAAGGCTCCAGTAGCTTGAATTGGGTAGTAATGGCCGCCATTTTTAGGACAGATGCTCTTGGATTCATGATATATAGCGGCTTCCCTTCCTGGTTCCAGTAGGCATTTGAGTGTGAGACCATTAAACTACAGCCTCTCTGCTATTTAAAGGGAAAAGAAAAGAACACTGTTAGCTGATAGATTACAACTGTGGGCTACAACCACTGATTTTTCATTATTTCACTTCTGACATCTTCAGGTCACGTATGAGAGATGTAGAAAATGCACGTTTCCGTCCGATGCTGCTTGGCTTGGGTGGGATGAGTGTTTCTGGGTACCAATTCATTGGCTTGTTTCCTGCCTTCTTTCAGTATCACTGTCACTCACGGAGAGCATTGGCTATATGTTCCTCTGTGCTAAATTAACGATCCTTTTTTTTCTTGGTGTCCAAGCTTTCTTAGGATGTCAGCCTCCACTCGATATACCCAATGGGAATCACACTGGTGGAGATATGGCTCGATTTTCTCCCGGGATGTCAATCCTGTACAGCTGTGACCAAGGCTACCTGCTGGTGGGAGAGGCATTCCTCCTTTGCACACATGAGGGAACCTGGAGCCAACCTGCCCCTTATTGTAAAGGTGCGCTGTCTATTGTTTTCTTATTTGTCAATTAAATTTCTCCCACGTAGATGGATTCAGTTCGGTGCTTTCAACTTAAAATAGACAAATGCGTTAATTGGATCATTTAATACAATGCATTTGCTTGGACTGATTTAATTGGATTAATCCACTAAGTAACCACAAAATAAGAAAAAATGACTTAAGGAATAACTTGTCTGATGAGTGATCGCTTATGTAGTCCTTTAAGTACAGAAAACTGAAGTACTTACACAACTTATATAACTAGATACAGGTTGAATTTATACTACGGTTGTAGTTATGGAAGTGTGCGTTCGACAAAATGCTGATACGACGCACAATGACCTTGTCAGTATATTTCCTATCAGTGGTGGTGGCATTATGGGTCTATTTTTTTAATAAAAGTTTCAGGGGCGCCTGGGTGGCGCAGTCGGTTAAGCGTCCGACTTCAGCCAGGTCACGATCTCGCGGTCCGTGAGTTCGAGTCCCGCGTCGGGCTCTGGGCTGATGGCTCAGAGCCTGGAGCCTGTTTCCGATTCTGTGTCTCCCTCTCTCTCTGACCCTCCCCCGTTCATGCTCTGTCTCTCTCTGTCCCAAAAATAAATAAACGTTGAAAAAAAAAATTAAAAAAAAAAGTTTCAGGATTTCACTTTCATTAGCATAAACAACACATGTGAAATACACAGTGAGTTCATATCCAATACTTGTCGAGCACTTTTTACTAAATACCAGAAACCATGCACAGCATTTTGCATGCATTATTTCATTAATCCTCCTGAGAACAATATGAAGTTGGTGCCACTATTATTTCTGTATGACAGGTGAGGTCTCGGTAGAATGAGAGATTTGTAACCTACCTGAAGTCGCACAGCTGGGAAGTCTAGGAGTCATGATTCAAATCCCAAATCTCCCACTATCACTCCCTACACTGCAAGTTGAAAGAAGAAATAAGGGAGCATGTTCCTGTACGGAGAATTCTAGGTAACAGTGAAGCAGATGAGACAGTCATTCAGAATTCTTAATATTACCCATTCAGCCCTCACCATTTCTCTGGGAAGCCATCAAAACGATCCAACACTATCCGTTTAGAAACTGAAGCACAAAGAAGGAAAATAATCTGGCTTCAATTGCCTAGAGGTAATCGAGATGAATTGTTGACACGAAAAGACTGCCTAAGATATCCTGTTGTGTTATCACAGTGAGGCTTTACTTAGAATGATCTACTTCCTTGAGAAAAGGCTAAACTATGACCCAGCTTCCATTAGCTTTCTTCCATTTCAGAGGTGAACTGTAGCTCCCCAGAGTATATTAACGGAATCCAGAAGGGGCTGGAGCCTGGGAAAATGTATCAGTATGGAGCTATTGTCACTTTGGAGTGTGAGGAGGGGTATACCCTGGAGGGCAGTCCCCAGAGCCAGTGCCAGGATGATCACCGGTGGAACCCGCCCCTGGCTGTTTGCAAATCACCAGGTAAGTACCAAGGGCTCTATTGCAGCTCGTGTACTTGCCTCACTGGAGAGAAGAGAGCAAGGGCTATGCCTCAGCATTAAGTTCTAGGTTTTAACTTGACATGGGTCTGTGACCAGCACTACACTGATGGAAGAGTTTGAAGTTAGTAGTCGATTCTACAAAAAGCAAAACTCTCTGAGGATGGAGGAAATAAAGAAAGGAAATCAAGGGAGAGGAATACTAACTTATAAGGTGCAAGACTAACAACCTTACGTTTTGAAAGGAGTCACTACTGAGCTTTCCCTTGCTGAATCTTGTTTTATAACCACTTACCGATTGGACAATGGTGAACATTGTTGTTATGCCAACTAAGGGCGTTCGTTCACCTGTTACAAACTATATGGTTCACCTCTGACAACTCTCTACGGTGAACAACCTGTTAGAATTAATGATAAATACCAACAGCTAATATGTGCATTGTAACCTGAGAAGTCTCTGATTATGAAATTGACTATGTTGGTTTTTTCGTTCAGGAACTACCCCGACTTAAAGTGAATTTTTTTTTTTAAAGTCCAGTGAGCTGTCACATAAAAAATGAAGCGTGATTATAATCCAGGGTCCCATCACATCTTTTTTAAGTGGATTTTGAGAGAGAGGAGCTGAATGTTAACTTTGGGGACATGACCATGGGACTTTGGGCTGCACTGAAGCATGCAACTAGACTAATATTTTCATGATTCTGTATTCTCTTTAGCCTCACTTGCTCCTCTTCTTTCTGGTAAGTTTTCTTAAATATTTGAATTAAATCTCTAATGATTTTTTTTAAGTTTATTTATTTATTTTGAGAGAGCCAGAGCATGTGGGAGGGGCAGAGAGGAAGTGGGAGAGAGAATTCCAAGCAGGCTCTGCACTGTCAGTACAGCGACCGATGTGGAGCTCAGACCCATGAACCATGAGATCATGACCTGAGCCGAAAGCAACAGTCGGACGCTTACCTGACTGAGCCACTCAGGCACCTCTCTAATGTTTTATAAAAAATATGTAAGTCGTGCCTGGGTGGCGTCCCACTTCGGCTCAGGTTATGATCTCGCGGTTCGTGAGTTCGAGCCCTGTGCTGGGCTCTGTGCTGACAGCTTGGAGGCTGGAGCTTGCTTCAGATTCTCCCTCTCTCTCTGCCCCTCCCCTGTTTGTGCTCACTTTCTCTCTCTCTCTCAAAAATGAATAAACATTTTTTTAAAATATGGCCCTATATCCTGCCTGTTATTTTTTTTTTTTTCACTTTAAGTCCTAGGAAATTATCCTTTTTGCTGTTTTAAGGCTCTATTAATGTGTCCTCCATATTACACACTGACACTTTTGCATCGAGTTGAATAAATGGTTTAAACAGCCAGCTATTCCAAGTTTTTAACCTGAAAGTGTAGTTTATGTTAACTTCTGGTCATTTGCATGATTCGGTACTATCAAATAGGTTGGCTTATTCTGCAGCGGCCAAATATATTTCACAGCTGAGTTATGCTGTTTGGCCAAGTCGTGGGACCCCGGTGTCCTGAGCTCCTCATATCATCCCAGTAACGAGAATATTGCTAATAAAACTGAAAGGAGACACAATCGTGACTGGAGCCCTGTGGTCACATGCTCAGTGCTTTAGATTAAATGTGGGCTGGACTGAATCAAAAAAAACCCACTTAATCCCAAGTATGATTATTTAGGAATTCGGTATTTATATGGCTGAAAAAGGATAGGTATAAAATCACATACCATTCCCCCCACACACTAGGAATAGCCCTGCAATGACTTCAGAACAATACAGGTCACACTTTTCTGGCATTTGATACTTGCTGTTTTGTTTTCTAGGTCTTTCTGCAGGCTCAGTACTTCTTATATTCTTGATTGGTGTCACCTTATGCACGATATTAAAACACAGAGAACGGTAAGTTCATTGCACGCTTGACCAAAAGGCACAAAAGGTTTTGGCTTCTTGCCTGAAACTAAATTCAGAAGCACAAGTTATATGCCATGAATATTATAGTGTGATCACTGGAGTAAGGGATCTTGTGTGGATCCCTTGTCCTCTCAAGGGCTCTTGAGAGGAAGCCCCCTCTGTAAGAACTTAAAAAAATTATCAAACACTTACTTTATTTGAATGATGTTTATTCAGGTGATATATTATTTAAAAAATCTAGAAAATGAAAATTTGAAAAATCGCAGGGGTAACAACTGCAGATATTTTGGTATATTCCTATCTGATCTTTCTCTTACTTTCTTTCTCTTTTTCTCTCTTTAACTGAAATTTTAGCATGATAGTCTCCCACCTAAATTTTTAAAATTTGGCCTTTATCTTTTGTATCGTATGTTTTCTTTTTAGTTACTTAACAGCAAATTGTTCTATGTATTTCTGTATTGTAGAAATTTTAGGTTGCTTCCACATTTACTTTGATAATAAATAAAGATACAAGAAACCCCTTTGAATAAAACCTTTTTGAATAAAACCTTTCCCCCATCTACTTATTTCTGTATCACAGCTGTCTATAATTACTAAGAGTATGAACATCTAAGGTGCTTAATAAATACTGCCCAATGACTTTCCAAAAAGTTTGCTCTAACTTGACCAAACATTGAATAATTAATGTATTTTGGATGTGTTGTGTTTCTGGACTTTTTATTCCTGCTGTAGTGACTTACCTGTTCTTCTATCACAAATCACTTTGTGTTTAATTAGTATAGTTTTATACTGTTCTAATATACGGCGGGGCAAGAATTCCCTTGCTATAATTTTTACTATTTTCTTTTCTATTGTCTTCTGTTTATTCTTACCAGACGACTTTTAGATCATTTGCCATTTCCAAAAAAAACATATGTTGTGATTACACTTAAGTCTATAGATTAGTGGGTGAGAAATTGGCATCTTTTTTTGTAATGTGTTCCTCTTCGGAAGCATTGTAGGCCTTTCTATTCGTTCAAGTGATCTTTTCTTCCGCTTGGTTGTTGTTTTCATGACTACTTTTAAATATATTACTAGGTTTTCTGTGTTTTGTTATATTATGTTTTATTATCCAGAGATTAGATCTAGTTTTATTTTTAACTTATTAAAGTTTTAAAATATTTTAATCTGTAATGTAATATTGACTGCCATAGTAGGTTATGTGCTATTTGGTGGATGCACAAAGCAAATGGTCAAGTCACAGAGAATTTGTAGCAGAAAAAAAAATTCCATGGTGAACAAAATGTTTCAAAAGCGCCTCAAGAAACTGTAGACCAGGAGAGAAAGGCTTTCCTGGAAAGAGTAAGCGAGCAGTTTGAGTGAAAACCCAGAGGCTTGTCATCCCATCATGTGTTATGAGAACTACACAAGCAATCTGACACAACTGGGACATGGTGACTGAAGGAAAAGGCAGCATAGATTTAGGTGGAGAGATGGCGTAAAAGACCCCTCTAACCCATAAATCTTGTATCAAAATATTCTGATAAGTGCAAAGGATACCTTTTTAGCAAATGAGACCATCAGATATCAGCCTAGGGATGGTCTGTGTGCATAGGTTCTTGAATCTCTGTATGTGCCAGTGTTAGAGAAGATAATCAGGTGAAGCCTTACCACGTCTCAGGTAACCTCTAGTGTGTGTGTGTGGGGGGGGGGGTGGTGACCACGTCATGTCACCCCAAACATGTCACCCATAAACTCCAGCAACATTACTTTCACATGCTAAGTCACTTGGATCTATCAGGGCTGATGCACTGTTCACCGTTGTAAAATGCCTGATGGAGGCATTAGACGTGACGGGGTTACGCTGAACCTCTGTAACGATGTCACCTATGAACCTGAGTGCTTTGTTCTGAGCCCGGCGGGACCTGAGCACCGCAGGTCCTACAAAGATCTACAACTGTGATATACTTTAGCCTGTAGTGTTTACCAGACTACGGACCATATAGCCCTCATTTTGTCAATGACTTCAGGAAATAAAAAGGGTGTTCTGTGACCAAATAACATGCGTTATTTTTCTCATGAAGATTCACAATGACCATGAGAAATATTTAAAGCCCTACAACGAAGAAGGCTGTTTCATTTTATTTTCAAACCGGAGTTCCCCAAATTAATTGGACTGGAGAACTCTTTCTCAACTAATGCTTGAACATCCCATGGAACTAATGTTCCATTGAACAGTCACTGGGAAATCTAGAGAGGTGGGCAGTAGCTAGATCACCAAAAGCCTTGCATACCATGACAGAGGAGTTGGTGGGTATCCCGTCAGATCTTGAGCAAGGTAATAATATGTTCAGATACGCGTTTTCAAAAGAAGGGCAGGATTGGGCTTCCAACCAAAGCAGCCGTGGTGGGGATCGGGAGGATGGAATAGATAGAAGAGGTATCGTCACTATTTAGAAGAGAGGATTTCTGGGACTTAGTGACTTGCCAAATGCGGGCAGAAGGGAGAGAAAAAGAATGACTCATGTGGAGTGGATCCAGTGGTTCACCAAAAGAGGAGAGGGGCAGTTTTGTGGAGAAAGAGGAGTTCACTTTGGGGGCACTCATGATGCAGGACGCAAGAGAGGGACCTGGACTCCGGCAGGTGACATTTAGATCACATTTGAAGCCTGGAGACCAAAAAGAACATAAAAGGTAAGAATAGGGATGAAAACGGACCTCAGAAGGGCAGTAATGCTTAAAAGGGAGGAGAAGAAGGGACAGTCAGAAGACGAAAGGAGTAGTCTCACAGAATCAAGGGAGAAAAGGGTCTCAAAAAAGAAAAATAGGGATGTCAGTCACATGGCTTTCCTCACAGGAAGTTAGAAGATAATTTTAGCCAAGAGTAATTAGAAATTCAAGTAAATAGAAAATGTGGTCTCTATCACTTTCCTTCATACTACTAATTTTGTTATCAGGGAGTCACATGTGTAGGAAAATTGGCAAACTTTAGGAATGCCTATAAGCTCAAATAATTTACAATGTTCCGGGCAGATTATTTAGTTTATGAATGGGACTATATCATGTACTATACTGAAGAACCTCCATTGATATAAACCAAACCTATATGTTAAACTCCATTCCTAACCATCACTCATTTTATTTCCAATTTGTAACTGACTTCAATTTATTTTCTGATAGTTGGTCTAGACGTTTGAGCTGCCTTAAATACTTTCTGTAAACGAGATAAATAATCGGTCACTTAGAAATTTTGCCTAAGTAACAAAACTAAATATTTTCTAAAGTGTTTATTTTGAGAGAAAGAGTTTGCGCAAGGGTGAGGGGCGGAGAAAGAGAAAATCCCAAGCAGGCCCCACGTTGTCAGCTGTCAGCGCAGAGCCCAAGGCGGGGCTCGATCAAACTGTGAGATCATGACCTGAGCCGAAATCAAGAGTCAGATGCTCAACTGACTGAGCCCCCCAGGCGCCGCGAAATTAAATATTTTTTAAAGCCACCCAAACATTTGAGAGAGACCACTCTTCTTCTCTAGACATCTAAGATCTTTTAATGAAACCTAAATCTCACGTAGACCTAAAAATCACCATTGTATAATATTCTTGACGCCTCTGTAAGCTGACTTCTTAAATATGGTAGTAAGTGACATGCTCTGAGTAACCTTAGCAGAAATCATTCTTTGGTAATTCTGTAATACTTTATTTCAGAGTGCTACCTGATAATGTGATCACATTTTCATGTCTCTTGCTAATTTTGGCCAAGGGGTTTTAGGAGCACAGTGAAGTGTGTGGGCTTTCAAAGTGTAGAAGTAAAAATGTCCTCTTAAAAATTATCTCAAGCTTTTAGTGCTGTAAGACTACAGAAGGATTCGGAATTTAACATCAAATATGAAAACTTTCCTTTAAGTTAGCCTGGAAGACTGTGTCCCACAAAGGTAAATTTATGGTCATATCCTAAAATTAAAGCTTCTTTTTTTAATTTATTTTTTCAAACTGAGGATCATAGTTCTAAGTTATTGAGGGTCCTGGATCCGAGGGAAGGCAACCTTGTACCCACTTTTGATTTGGACACTTAGCATCCTAGCAAGTTATTTATTTTTAGGGGCCTTTCCAAATAATAGGGGTTATAGTGATCATCTCATATGATACTTAGGACATCAAAATGAACCCATTCATGAAAAGTACTTATCACGTGATGGGAATTACAGAAAACAAACAACTATGACATGTTTATAGTAATCCTGGCCAATGAGTAAAGAGTTTACTTTTTTCTTCCTTTTTCCATTTAGGAATTATTATACAAGCAAAAGCCCTATAGAAGGAGATCTTCATTTAGAACCACAAGAAGTCTATTCTATTGATCCATACAACCCAGCAAGCTAATTGGAAGACAAACTGGTATCTAATAAATTTGAAATATTTTTATTCACCCATCCATCAAAACGCCTTCAGTTTATATTTGTCAATAAGTATAGTACTAGATGAGTATGGTTGTATTGCACAAGTCTTCAGCAATCATGCCCAGAAATTGTTAACTTACCTACTTCGTATTGCCAAACTAATGCCATGGGTTCTTTTCAGTTCATTCATCCATTCAACAAATACTAAATACATAGTATAATAATTAAGGATAAAATGGAGAAGATGATATGTATTTTGAAGAGAAAGAAAGCATACTCATATAGAGTATGCTGGGTCATTGTAATGAGCTTGGTGTGTATTCTGAGATGGAAACCAATGGAGGGTTTTAAGCAGAGGGGAGAATGGTCACTTTAACTGCTGTGTGGAGAACGGAATATAGGAAGACAAAGGTGGAAGATGGAGGCATCCATGAAGACTTTATCACAACAGTCTAGGCAGGAGGTTGTGAGTGGCTGCCACCAGGATGGTGAGAAGAGGGCAGCTTCTGCATTACTTTGAAGTTTATTTATTTGTTTTTGAGAGCGAGAAGGAGTGGGGAGGGAGAGGAAGAAGAAGAGCAAGAATCCCAAGCAGACTCTGCGCTGTGAGCGTAGA